GATGGATGGATGGGTGAGAGGATGGATGGATGGGTGAGAGGATGGATGGATGGGTGAGAGGATGGATGGATGGGTGAGAGGATGGATGGATGGGTGAGAGGATAGATGGATGGGTAAGAGGATGGGAGTGTGGGTGGTTTGAGACATACCAGTAATTGCTGTGGAATCAGTTGCATGATTAGTTTCGCTGGCCACTTATCAGTCTTCCTGAAGGTGAAACAGAAGGCTTACATCAACTAAAGAATTTTATACCTTAACCCCTGGGATTTCCAGTCATCACATTCCGATACAAGCAATTATTTAATCAAGTTTTACAAATAAACAATACTTCAAATGTGTAAGTCATTGCCTATTTCCTTACAATGCGTATCCAGGTGCAACAGATATGTGACAAGCAAGAGAGCGAGTAATCCTTTGTTGCTGCTGATTAGGGTCGGTTTTCACCTGGGGAAAAAAAAAAGAGGTAGACAAAAGTAATTGATAAACGAAAGAAAAAGGCACTAAGTGAAAGAAAAATCAAGGAAGAACCACAGAGATCGCATAGAGGGGGGTCGACAGCCACCCCAACATTATATTGAATAAACATCCACTAATATCCCATTCACTCCAAGACTTAAACATGTTTTAAAGTGGTTTAACTAAACAGGTTTGGAAAAGTATCTATGAACACTGCACAATATTTGGTGAAATAATGCATGTACACTGTAAACTATCCTTTGTCTTGCTCTGACAATATTTTAGAAAGTTTCATGATATTGTAAGTTTCTAGTTTCTCTTTTTTTTTTCCTATGAAAACATAGTTTAACTAAACACATTTAGGTGTGAATGGTTTCTAAAGTCTTCTCCTCACTTATTTCCATCTTTAGAAGCCCCCCCCTTTCACACACGCACACACACTTTAGGGTGCTTCTTATTCCTTGTAGGGACAAACCAGGTAAAAAGTAAATGGGTGGGTTAGTTATTGAACAATTGTATCTTACTGTTTCAATCCACTCCAATGTTCCCTTCCATTCCTGAACCAAGACACAAGCAAGGTCAAAATGTAAACAACTCATTTCATTAATAAAATGGTTAGTTGTTATTTGAACMATGGTAACTTACTGTTTCACTCCATTCCAATGTTCCAGTCCATGCCAGTGCCCTTGTTATATTCCCTTGATGCATTTGCTCTGGTGCATGTATTCCAGGCCTGTTCCCAACTACATGAAAAGATAAACAATTAAAACTCATTTTAGGATAAGTTATATATTTTACAACAACCACTCCCCATATGGGGCTCTTCCGTGAGGTTCCCTCCACACGCAATACCACTACATTCTATATTTTACAACATACAACGCTCAACTCACATGTTGCTCGTTATGGGGGGAAGAAACCGGAGACCCCGGAGAAAACCCTCGTGGCAAGGGAGAGAACGATACATCAAACAAACTCAACTCACATACAATCCAGTCTGAGCCAGGGCTTGAACCTGGACCACAGTGGTGAGAGGTGGGCGGTAAACCACTACGCCACCCATGCCACCTAAGTTGGTAATAAATCCAAGGATAGGTCCAGGGTCAAGGGGAGGGGGGTTGGGGGTTGGGTGTCTAGCCACACCTTATGGAGTCTTTATTAAGGGTCAAGGATATTATTTTACTGTATTCACTAAGGTTCTGGGTCATTCCCTAGTCATTCCCTATAGACTTTTAAGTAAAGATGGATTCTTTGTTTGAAGTGTATCCATTTTCACACATTTTCTTATGCACAACTGTTAAACTAAGAATCGATACTCTTTGGAATGACACGAGGTATGAAACGGGAAATCATTATGACCAAGATATGCTGGAAATTAATTTTTCCGAATTTAATTCCAAGGGCTTTCGCCCGGAATAACCTCATTCCCAAGCACTATAACTTATCTATATTTCTATATCTTCATGTATTTCATTAGTGCCATGCGGTCCACATATTCTCATCTTTGCATCATAATTACCGCTACCTACCATCTATTTCACCCCGGCCTGCTCTCAGTCTGACCTCTAGCTCAGCTGGTAGAGCATCGATAGTACAATTCCGAAGGTCGTGGGTTCGATTCCCAGGGAGGTCGGAAATTAATTTTTCCGAATTTAATTCCAAGGGCTTTCGCCCGGAATAACCTTGTTCCCAAGCACTATAACTTATCTATATTTCTATATCTTCATGTATTTCATTAGTGCCATGCGGTCCACATATTCTCATCTATGCCCAAGATAGAAAGGTCTATTTAGATTATGATTAATCAAAGCAAAAATTGCCATGGATATCCATGTGTGGGAGTATATAAATTAGAGGAATCTAAGCTCTTTTTGGGACTAATTATAGGCTGATCTTTATTTACGTTTATTCCTCATTAGCATAAAAAACATTTCAAGCTACATGACTTACAAAGAAATGTATGGTCGTGTGGCACAACATACATTTCTTTGTAATTTATTCTGTTTTCAAAAAAAAATGTACTCCCAAAATTTTAAACATATTACTCTCAAATTTTCAGTAGTTACTAAATAAGACATTCTCTTTCAATTTCTGGAGTCGGTTTGCTTGTAGCTTGAAAAATGTTTTTTGCTAATGAGAAAAAAACGTACATAAATATTGGCCTATAGAGTTTCTATTAATAGTACTTACTACTGTTTTGAAATTTGTTGACGGCTTCATTTTGTGTGACAACTCCTGAATTCTGAAAATCAAAATGTTTGAAACCCACTGTGATCAGGCAGTGCGGCCTTTATGGACAAAGTTGGTCCACAATATTTTTCAATAATGAAAAGGGAACAAAGAACTTAAAGTGTATATCAAGGAAAAAAATTTATTTTCAAAAAAATCACTTATATGTGAACAGTGCAGTATTATGGTTGCAGTATTTGATTGTATGTGGCCTTCTCTTCTCAGAGATATATACATTTGAAATATCAATGTGCAAATGATCGAGATGACATAAATTCAATACATTTTGCAGCGTAATTTACGACAAGTGTTCTAAAGAGAAATAACCTAAAAGTGTACAAAGCCATATATTTCAATTATAAGGATGATTTGCAAATGGGAAAAAAAGCAGTACTTGCCACGACAGCATTTTTGTATAATAAATTAGTCTTGAATTTACGTCATCTCATTTGCATATTGATATTATTTAAATGTAAATATCTCCTAAAAAAAGATGTTACATACAAAGATACTGCAACCATACTACTACACTATTCACATATTAAAAATGCCTTGATATACACTTTCAAAAGTTTAAAATACAAGAAATGTAAGAATTTCCACTGACAGTTGTTCAAGGAAGAAAAGAAGATCATTCCGTAGCTCAGTCATTTTTAAGTCATTTAAAAAAAATGTCAAACCTGAGGTGTTGCAGTTGGTACAGCAGGCGTCATTGCRATAGTAGAAGGCATTGTAGGGACGTTCGCAATAAAATTGGGAGGAAAATTTGGCATCTGCTTATTGATGACCATGGGTTGGCTGACTGGAACAGGAACCTTAGAAACATAGGGGTTGTCCTGTGCCGACCCTGCCTGAGGTGATTTTTGAGCCCTTGATTGGGCCTTTGTTTTACGTGTAGTTGGCTCTGCAGCAGAACCATCTGGAAGGAGAAAAAAAAAAAGTTCCTATTTATATCCAACATTTTTTATATTTAATAATAATAATAATTAATAATAATAATTAATAACTTAATGTACTTGTATCACGCATATTACATGTTCATATGCTCATACGCGCACTTACAATACTAAAATCTTATAAATACTGTATGCTATAGTAAAGAAAACGATAAATAAAAATTAATCGATAAAAGCAAAAAAAAATTATTCAATAAAACCAATGAAACTATAATACTATATTATACATATAAATACAAATTTTCAATGAAGTCTATTTAAAAAGCTATTAGTTAAAAAGGTACTATGTCTTAACTGCCATCTTAAACTTGTTCAATGACTTGTTCAACTTGTTCATTTGCCATGATAATGCTTTGCCTTTAAATATATCGCCATGATAATGCTTTACCAATCAATATCTTGCCATGATAATGCTTTGCCTTTAAATATATCTTGCCATGATAATGCTTTGCCTTTAAATATATCGCCATGATAATGCTTTGCTTTTCAATATCTTGCCATGATAATGCTTTGCTTTTCAATATCTTGCCATGATAATGCTTTGCTTTTCAATATCTTGCCATGATAATACTTTACCAATCAATATCTCACCTGTTGCTGTGCGTCTTGGGCTTCCCATCTGTCCAGCAGGGCTGTTAACTGCTGCAGGAGACCCTTTATTACCCAACCCTGTCTGTTTGGGTGGTGTTGTGTCTGATTCCTTTTTAACAGCTGACTGACCAACTCCTGCTGCACCTAACAACCAATTTATTTATGTTTTTAGTTTAAAAAGTTTCACAGTAAATCACCATACTTTACAGAGCAATAAACCTCTGGATCTGTGGGGGATAGGGATGTTTTTAGTAAAGGCACAAGGGCGGATCCAGCCAAAATTTTAGGGGGGGCTAATTGAGTTTAGGAGGGCTAATTGTGAGTTTCTTCCGTCAACACAACGGAAAACAATAAAAAAAAGCATCTACTTCTTCAGTTTTGTTTTGCTTTTTTTCCTGCTGAAGGGGGATTGAGCCCCCCTTTGCCCCCTCTTGGACCCGCCCTTGAGGCATTTTAAGTAAATCACCATACTTATGTATAACAAAGCAATAGACCTGTGGGGGATAGGGATAGGGGAAGGAGGTTGAGGGGTTGGGGATAGTGATGGGGCAAGGGTTTATTTGGAGGGGGAGGGGGGTGAGTTCTCCCAGACCTTGAAAACCTTTCAAATTACCCTGTTCAACTTTTCAAGTTAGTTGGGGCTCCCTGTGATATCCCTTTATTCCTAAGTTGAGATGATCCTCATTATCAATCATAACATATCTTACAATTAACCCCATATTTACCTTTAGCTTGAGGAGATGTTTTGGTAACAGCACCAGCTGTTCCTGGCAACACCAGACCTCTAAGGCATACCATGTGATGTGGATCTTTAGAGAAGTCTTTGGCCATTGCACCTCTACTGTCATCACGCATTGACTAGCAACATGAAAAAAATAAGCACTCAATGATTGCATGTGGCTACGGCAAATTATGTTTGCATGTATGAAATTGAACTGGTCTGGAGGGATATAGATTTGTTTTCCTGAGAGTCTCCACGTTTCCTGAGAGGAAGCCAAGCTTTGTTATATAGCAATCGAGAAATATTGATAATTCATTTTATGAAATAAGAACTTTATTGAATTAGCAAGCATTTTAAATGCATGAGAACTGATCTTACGAATACAACTCACATACGATCTATCTCGTTTCCAAAAAGCAATTTTAGCCACTTTTTCTAATATTTTTTCTCAATGAAAGTCTGTATTTCTTCTGTAGGAACACTGAAAATTTGTTTTTTTGCTTTGAGCTCCATTTGTACTAAAATAATTCCAGCATAATACCTATCTACTCCTGCGATGTTGTTTGTGAGTTGCGCAAAATATCATGCAACCAGCTTTTTTCACATTCTGATCACTTGCACTGGTTTATTTTCACCATTCAATTCACATGTATTACATGTAGGCTTCCTGTGGTGTTATGGACTTCCTTACGGACTTCCTTACACAACTCAATGACATACATGGCTTCRCCTCTACAAGGCAGTAGCCACAAAAAATCTTAGGTAAAATCATCTTAACTGTGAAGCATTTAATTACTTTTACTGTAGTGTATACCCACCACTTCAAAGACCTTCTGCAGAGCTGGAAGTTTCCTAGGTGATATGATTGACAGGTTGATGTTGTCCTGGAAACAGCATATGAAATATTATATTAAATCCTTGAAACTTTACCACATAAGGGGCTAATTTAAATATTCTCAAAGTCAGTTCCTTCTATGTAATTATTAATGTCTCGTTCTCTTGTAATGATGTCAACGAGGGTTTTCTCAGGGTTCTCCCGTTTCTTCCGTCAGTAAAAATATAACAATATGTGAGTTGAGTGTTGTTTGTTGTAGATATAGAAAGTAGTGAAAGTGTGTGCGGATAGAAATGTCACAGAAGAACCAGGGCCTCACGTACTGGGAGTGCTTGTTTTACAGTATAACATAAGTTCATACATGAGTTTATAAAAACCAGGAACCCAGAAAAAAAATCTTAATTTAGAGACAAACTTTAGGTGATAAAATTAATAATGAAGAATGTATTATTATTGTTTCAACATATCAACAACCTTTATATAGTAATCATAGATGAAATATGATAACTGAGCTTTCAGACTCAATACCATCATCAGGGTACAGCTATACAATGTAAAATTGAACGACTTCAACTGTTTATAACGTGTACAAATAAACGAGGGCACGCAAACTAGCAACTACAACAAAAAAATAGTGCAAGGAAAATATAGGGAGAAAAAATTGTAGCCAAGAATGAATAAATAAAAGAATGTATTCTTGCTTACCTTTGCCATGAATTCAGCTAGTTGTTCTACAGTCTTGTTTTGATAATTCAAACATTCTCTTGTTGGTTGTGGATATGGAGGGGAATTGCTAACAACAATGCAACTTCTTTTGACATTGGAACTGGAAAAAATTAATAATTAGGATTGATTATATATTAATCTTCAAAAAATATATTTAAGTAAGATAATACAGTAATTCTGCATTTATTCTAGCAAGTAACATTTAATAATGTGCTTTTCTAAGGGCACTTTCCATTAAGCTCAACCGATTGGTACAAGTGGCCAGTTCTCAAATGGTATGCATCAGTTCTTAGAACTGGACCAACAGGTCCAGAACCAGTTATAAGAGCTGACATATACCATTTGTGAACTAGCCACTTAGTATAGATAGACCAAGGGGTTCAGCATGGAATAAGGAAATTCCTAAGAAGTTTTCTCAGAATCATGATCTCTCCTTTAATTTGTTTCCAATTTTTTTTCTGGAAATTTTTACAGATTTCTTCCTGCATATGCAAAGCAACAGTGTTATGTAGTTTGGGCTACCTGTGGTGGTCACGTGATTGCGGTGTGTGACCACATGGCGGGGAGCAACGTATGTAAAACGTTTTAGTTATAATAAAATAAGTTGGATAACACCACGATTAC